TTTTTTTTTAATTTTTGAAAATTATTCAGTTAAAAGTTACTTCCACAGTTCAACTCACGTGCGTAACTTTCAACGCCTCTCTCAGCCCCTTGATTCGCCACTGGTTTACTGTATTCGTCTAGTTCGTCTAGTTATCCATGATTTCCATCCATGTTTTTTAGAAAAATGCCGTCATCGTGCTTGGTTCGGGAGTTTACCGCATTGGGTCGTCTGTTGAGTTTGATGCAAGTTGTGTTGGATGTGTCAGAGAGCTGAAGGCTCTTGGCTATCAAACGATTACCGTAAATTGCAATCCTGAGACGGTAAGTTGTGTTGTTTAGAAGTCTACCGAGGTATACGTGCCGTGTTTAGGTTTCAACGGACTACGATATGTGTGATCGCCTATACTTTGAAGAGATCTCGTTCGAGACAGTAATCGATATCTATCATATGGAGAGGCCAAAAGGTGTCATCTTGGCTTTTGGCGGTCAAGCTCCGAACAATATCGCGATGAGCTTGAGCAAAGCGCAGGTAGTTTCTCAATCAATATTTACTTATTTTGGTTTTACTTATAAATTTGGATTTTATTTCACGTAACATTAAAATCTATCTTCCTTTATCCGCTTTCTGTGCTTTATTTTCAAGGGACAAACTTTGGCCTTTAGTCTGTGTTTTTTATGCACTACATCTGTTTACACATGATTATTTAGGTTAACATCTTCGGTACTTCCCCGAATGACATCGATAGTGCTGAAGATCGCTTCAAATTCAGTCGCAAGTTGGAGAGTTTGCAGATCACTCAACCGCTTTGGAAGAAGAGTGATAACATCGAAGATGCAAAGGTTGCCGTGATCTCCCTGGTTTATCCATTTTTATGGTCTTTGTATAGCTCTTCTGCGCCAAAGTCGGTTATCCTTGCCTTATTCGACCGTCGTATGTACTCTCTGGAGCTGCTATGAATGTGGCTCACAACGAGGACGATTTGGCTGCGTTCTTGAAGCAAGCCGCTGTGATCGCGAAAGAACATCCTGTAGTTGTTTCGAAATTCATCAAGTAAAAGTTTCTGACTAATTTACACTCAGAGGATGCAAAATTTATATTTTAGTGAAGCAAAAGAGATTGACGTTGATGCAGTAGTTAAAGATGGAGAAGTGCTAGTGATGGCTGTGAGTGAGCATGTAGAAAATGCTGGAACTCACTCAGGAGATGCTACACTAGTCACGCCTCCTCAGGATTTGAATCAGGTAAGTTGGGCACGAGGAAGTTTTTTTTCGGTCACATCCTTATGATTTTGATAAAAATTGTGATTATTCTAATTTTCTAGGTAACTCTGGACAGAATCAAAGATATCACGTATCGC